GAAAGCGTTGCCAGTGAGCGCGTGTCTGGGTGTGCGGGGTCGGTGCCCGCGCACGACGTGGCTTCTGAGCGTCGATAAACAGTGCGCGCCGTCCTTCTGCGTTCCCATTTGGGTGAGGACTGCATTTTCTCATGGATGGAGGGAATTTTCTTACAGGGATCCCTAAGATTTCCTCCTGCTCTAGAGTGAAATGATGCATTTTGTGTTGTATGTCATTGTTAGTTTGAGAAGATTATACAGTGGAAGTGACAAACAGATTCAAGGGATTAGATCTGATAGAGTGTCTGAAGAACTATGGACAGAGGTTCGTGACATTGTACATGAGACAGGAATCAAGACCATCCCCAAGAAAAATGCAAAAGCAGCAAAATGGCTGTCTGAGGAGGCCTTACAAATAGCTGAGAAACAAAGAGAAGCTAAAGGCAAAGGAGAAAAGGAAAGATATAAGCATCTGAATGCGGGGTTCCAAAGAATAGCAAGGAGAGATAAGGAAGCCTTCCTCAGTGATCAATGCAAAGAAATAGAGGAAAACAATAGAATGGGAAAGACTAGAGATCTCTTCAAGAAAATTAGAGATACCAAGGGAACATTTCATGGAAAAGTGGGCACAATAAAGGACAGAAATGGTATGGACTTAATAGAAGCAGAAGATATTAAGAAGAGGTGGCAAGAATACACAGAAGAACTATACAAAAAAGATCTTCATGACCCAGATAACCACGATGGTGTGATCACTCACCTAGAGCCAGACATCCTGGAATGCAAAGTCAGCTGGGCCTTAGGAAGCATCACTACTAACAAAGCTAATGGAGGTGCTGGAATTCCAGCTGAGCTATTTCAAATCCTGAAAGATGATGCTGTGAAAGTGCTGCATTCAATATGCCAGCAAATTTGGAAAACTGAGCAGTGGCCACAGGACTGGGAAAGGGTCAATTTTCATTCCAATTCCAAAGAAAGGCAATGCCAAAGAATGCTCAAACTACTGCACAGTTGCACTCATCTCACACGCTAGCAAAGTAATGCTCAAAATTCTCCAAGCCAGGCTTCAACAGTATGTGAACTGTGAACTTCCAGATGTTCAAGCTGGATTTAGAAAAGGCAGAGGAACCAGAGATCAAATTGCCAACATCCGTTGGATCATTGAAAAAGCAAGAGAGTTCCAGAAAAACATCTATTGCTGCTTTATTGACTACGCCAAAACCTTTGACTTTGTGGATCACAACAAACTGTGGAGAATTCTTCAAGACATGGGTATACCAGACCACCTTACCTGCCTCCTGAGAAACCTGTATGCAGGTCAAGAAGCAACAGTTAGAACTGGACATGGAACAATGGACTGTTTCCAAGTTGGGAAAGGAGTACATCAAGGCTGTAATTGTCAACCTGCTTACTTAACTTACATGCAGAGTACATCATGTGAAATGCCAGACTGGATGAAGCACAAGCTGGAATCAAGATTGCTGGGAGAAATATCAATAACCTCAGATATGCAGATGACACCACCCTTATAGCAGAAAAAGAAGAGGAAGTAAAGAGCTTCTTGATGAAAGTGAAAGAGGAGAGTGAAAAAGCTGGCTTAAAGCTCAACATTCAAAACACGAAGATCACGGCAAGTAGATGGGGAAATAATGGAAATGACAAATTTGTTTTCTTGGGTTCCAAAATCACGGCAGATGGTGACTGCAGCCATGAAATTAAAAGACACTTAGTCCTTGGAAGAAAAGTTATGACCAACCTAGACAGCATCGAAACATGTATATTATCTAGGGTGAAACAGATCACCAGCCCAGGTTGGATGCATGAGACAAGTGCTCGGGCCTGGTGCACTGGGAAGACCCAGAGGGAGCGGTTAGAGAGGGAGGTGGGAGGGGGGATTGGGATGGGGAATACATGTAACTCCATGGCTGATTCATGTCAATGTATGACAAAGCCCACTACAATATTGTAAAGTAATTTGCCTCCGACTAATAAAAATAAATGAAAAGAATGAAAAAAAAAAGAAAAAGCAGAGACATTACTTTGCCAACAAAGTAGTCCATCTAGTCAAAGCTATGGTTTTTCCAGTGGTCATGTATGGATGTGAGAGTTGGACTCTAAAGAAAGCTGAGCACCAAAGAATTGATGCTTTTGAACTGTGGTGTTGGAGAAGACTCGAGAGTCCCTTGGACTGCAAGGAGATCCAACCAGCCCATCCTAAAGGAGATCAGTCCTGGGTGTTCATTGGAAGAACTGATGCTGAAGCTGAAACTCCAGTACTTTGGCCACCAGATGCGAAGAGCTGACTCATTTGAAAAGACCCCGATGCTGGGAAAGATTGAGGGCAGGAGGAGACGGGGACGACAGAGGATGAGATGGTTGGATGGCATCACGGACTCAATGGACATGAGCCTGAGTGGGCTCCGGGAGTTGGTGATGGACAGAGAGGCCTGGTGTGCTGCGATTCATGGGGTTGCAAGGAGTCGGACACGACCTAGTGCCTGAACACCAGCAGAATGTTTGAACTGAAAGAAGGCCAGCCCCTCTAGATGCTGGGGTCAGAGGTGAGACTGTCCCACAGGGGGGGGTCAGGGTCATGCATGCATTATAGGCCATAGAAAGGGTTTTGGTCTCTAGTCTAAGAGCAATGAAAAGCCATGGCATCGTATCTTCCGCAGGGTCAGACATTATCGGATTTGAATTTTTACTTTTTAAAAATATTCACTCCTGTGGCTGCCTCGCGTATCATTTGCGGCCTGTGGAGTCTGGTTCCCTGCTGGGGCTCAGACCCTGAGGAGACAGCGCTCACAGCCTCTGATGCTGTTAGAGTCAGCCGGAGCAGGGACTCCCGGGGTGCCCTTGTGCGGATGCGGATGAGGCCTGTGCCCAGGGGGCTGTCTGCAGGTGGAGCAAAGACAGAACCCGGGAGCGGGGAGGGTCGGGCAGGTGGTGAGCCGCGCTGTCGGCGAGGGCGCCCTAAGGAGTCACGCAGGCCACTGCCTCAGTTCAGGCTGCGTTAGCAAAAATGCTCTAGACTGGATGGCCTAAATAACAAACGCCGTTCCTCACTGTCTGGAGCCTGGGAAGTTCAAGTCAAAGTGCCGGCTGACCTGGCGTGTGCTAAGACAGCTCAGTGCGCAGAGGTCTTCTCGCTAGCGGTCCGTTCCTGTAGAAATAGTGATCGCAGCATGGGCGTGTAGGGGAACACATTTTGCCACCCGAAGGCGTCTCTTTGGTACGTGGATTACTTTGAGCTAAAACCAATCAAAGCCCAGAAGGACTCCAGAGGAAAATTTGACCTTTGACCTAAAAAAATGTAGATAGAGGACTCGTTCCAGGAAAGGAGCGCTCAACGTGGATGACCCGAGTCCGAGCTGCGTGCGCAGACGGGGAGGCCCCTGAGGAAGTCTGTCTGTCCAGATTCCGCTCTGTGTCCTGTTGTGTCTGCACGCCACCGCAAGCATTTGTTTACCAAACGTGCTTTTTTGTCTTCGTCTGAGTCTCTTTCGTCCTCTTTGAAGTCCTGAACCACAACCCCCAACATCCTCTCTTGACTTCGGTGGTGTTTAAGGCTGGGGTTTTGCCCATTTTGGTGAGTTACTCAGTTCCCCATGTCTCTCCCCCGTACATATTATTTAACTTTTGTATAACTTTGTCCTGTTAATCCGTCTCATGTCCGTTTAATTCATAGACCAGCCAGAAGAACCTACAAAGGTACAGGAAACTTTCTTCCTCCCTAACGGAGCTCCCCACTCATGAAATAATCACTTCCCAAAGTCCCCGTCCCTAAATTGTACCACATTTGTCTTTAGTGTTTCAACATATGTAAATTTTGGGAAGAGACAAGCATTAAGTCCATAGCAAGTAATCCAATGATTTGGGAAAAGGAATCATGCCTTTAGGAAAGAAATATGAGATGTTTTTAGAGAGGGTGCAATTTGGTTAGTAACTCCCTTTCAAGAAGGCTAAACTGAATACTGAGCTTCCCAGGGAGCAGAGAGGTAGAGAATTCACCAGCCAGTACTGGAGACTAAGAGATGTGGGTTTAATCCCTGGGCCAGGAAGTTCCCCTGGAGTAAGAAATGGCAACCCACTCCAGTATTCATGCCTGGAAGAGCCCGTGGACAGAGGGGACGGGCAGGCCCTAGTCTGGGAGGTCACAGAGGCAGACGTGGCTGAGCAGCTGACCACAGACACACAGACTGATTGCAGCTTGCTGAAGCTAGAGTTTTGGATTGCACTTTCAGTGTTCTTACTAATCACCAGGAAAAGATGCCTCTTGCTCACTTCTGAAGCAGCTCCTTGTCTTGATGGTCGCGTTTGGGGCAGCACTCAGCAGCCACGTCTGTCTGTCTGAGAGCCTTGCTGTGATGCTGCTCGGAGGCCTGGGATGTAGGATTTCAACTGAATGACTTTCCTTCTGTGTAGGTTTCTTTTTCTTTTTTTAAAATTGAAGTATAGTTGATTTACAGTATTATATTAGTTTCAGGTGTACACCATAGTGATTCCAAATTTTCATTGTAGGTTTCTTTTTCTTTTTTTAAAATTGAAGTATAGTTGACTTACAGTATTATATTAGTTTCAGGTGTACACCATAGTGATTCCAAATTTTCATAGATTATTCTCTGCTGGGGCTTCCTCGGTGGCTCAGCCAGTAAAGAATCCACCTGCAATGCAGGAGACCCAGATTCAGTCTCTGGGTCGGGAAGATCCTCTGGAGAAGGAGAGGGCAACACACTCCAGTATTCTTGCCTGGAGAATCCATGGATGGAGGAGCCTGGCGGGCTACAGTCCGTGGGGTCGCAAAGAGTCGGACAGGACTGAGCGACTAACACTTTCACTTTTATACTGTATTTAAAGTTGTTATAAAATATTGTCTATATTCCCCGTGCAGGACCACATCTCCCTGTAGCCTGTTCATTTTACACGTGGTCGTTTGTGCCTCGCAACCCCCTCCTCTCGTCTCTCCCCGCTCCCCACTGGTACGCGCAGCCTGCCTTATTTCCTTTCCTCTCCTCCGCCAGGTTGATGAGCCCCGAGAACACGCTCCTGCAGCCCCGGGAGGAGGAGGGGGTCAAGTACGAGCGCACGTTCATGGCCTCCGAGTTCCTGGACTGGCTGGTGCAGGAGGGGGAGGCCACGGCGCGGGAGGAGGCGGAGCAGCTCTGCCGGCGGCTCCTGGAGCATGGCATCATCCAACACGGTGAGCGCGCCTTCCCTGAGCCCGGCCCACGCCCGCGGCCCGCGGCCCGCGGCCCGACGCCCTTCCCTCTCCCGGCTCTCTGAGCCAGCTGTGCTTCTGCCTGGGCTCAGCCCAGCTCACCTTTAAGCTGGGGGTCAAGTTCACGTTTCATGCCTTCTCATTCTGGGACTCAGACCAAAGGATCATCCACTCTCTGGCATATATTGTGGCTTGTGTTTTTTTTTTCCTTTGGGAATATATTGTTTTGATGGATGAGGCCCCAAGTGCGAGCAAGCAGGCAGATTCTTGCAGTGTCTCCAGAAATTTCTGCTTGGGTGAAATTAAAGGTCACAGCTTCACATCCGACTGGCTACAGCTGGTCATCTGGTCAAGTCTGGATGGGAAGCAGATGGCCCTAACACAGCTGGTTGCAGTGGAAGAGTGAAGATTTGCTGAACTGTGGCTCAAGCTGTCATGCTGAAGAAGCATCCAAAAGGCCTTCATCAGATTTCCCCTCACCTTTTTGTAAGGGCTGAATCATAATACTGCAATAGATTAGTAGCATATTGTTGAAGAATCGTATTAGTTACCTATTGCAGTGTAAGGAGTTCCTCTAAAACGTAATGCTATAAAATAATAGTGAGTGTTTATTACCTGGTACAGTTTCTGTGGGTGGGGAGTCTGGAGAGGCATAGCCGGTGGTTTGGCTTGGCGGTCTCTCATGAGGCTGGAGTCGAGACGTTGTCCAGGGTGACAGTCTTCCGAAGCCCTGGCAGTCCAGAGGGTCTCCTTCACAGCGCTCACTTGGATGTGCACCAAGTCATTGCTGGCTGTTGGCAGGAAACTTCTGCCCATTGCTCTGTAGACTTCTTCATGAAGCTGCTTGGGAATTCTCATGATGTGGCGACCAGGCTTCTTCCAAAGGCCGTGATCCAAGAGAATGTGGGCAGAAGCCACGGTGGCTTTAGCAGAGCCTCGGGGTCACACACGGTCATTTCTGCACCTCTGCTGGTTGGCAGGTCAGTCCCGTTCAGTACGAGAGAGGACGTGTGAGGGTGTGACTGCCGGAAGCGGGGATCACTGAGCCCCCTCAGTTCCCATGAGGCTGGTTCCCACGGGAACACAGGCTCTGGAACCCCAGCACCACCGGTTACCAGCTACTTACCTTCTCTCATCTGTAAAATGGGCGAGCTTGCGTAGGGCGCTTGTGGGTGTAAACGAGGCAGACACACAGTGCTTGGTTCAGTGCTCTGCTCTGAGTAAGTGCTCGACCGATTCGTTTCCTTTGTGAAATATTTTCGCTTATTTGTTCATCTGTTTGGCTCTGTTGGGTCCTAGTCGCGGCCTGGGGGATCCTTCGCTGCGGTGCAGGGACTCTAGCTGTGGCTCCAGAGCACACGGGTTCATTGCTCTGCCGCTTGTGGGAGCTTGGTTCCCTTACCGGGGATCGAACCTGTGTCCCCAGCACTGCAAGGCAATCCTTCACCCCGGATCACCAGGGAAGTCCCTCAATCAATTAATACAGCAGCGATCATAGGCTTAGAACAGTGAATAAACGGCGGAACTAGATAAGCATTTCGGCCTAGGAGTCAGTAGGAAAGGAAATACCTGAATCATTCTTGCTATAAACTCCCCTCCCCACACTTCTACACAGGCCTAGAATTTCTGCCCCAGGGTTAGGGAAAAAACAGGGAAATTATAGAGATGAAAGAAACTTTTGAAATTATTTGGAGCAGTGTTTTACAAACTTCAGATTGTAACCCTTTAGTGGGTTTAAAAGGGCTTCCCTGATAGCTCAGCTGGTAAAGAATCTGCCTGCAATGCAGGAGACCTGAGTTTGATCCCTGGGTTGGGAAGATCCCCTGGAGAAGGAAAAGGCTACCCATCCAGTATTGTGGCCTGAAGAATTCCATGGACTGTATAGTTCATGGGGTCAAAAACAGTTGGAAGTGACTGAGCGACTTTCACTTCAGTGGGTTTAAATATTTAAATTAAAATATTAAGAAAAATTTTAGCACGGGGAACTGTATTTAATATCCTGTGATAAACCATAGTGGAAAAGAATATGAAAAAGAATATATGTATAACTAAGTCACTTTACTGCCTAGCAGAAATTAATAGAACATTGTAAATCAACCGTACTTGAATAAAATTTTTTTAAAAAGGAACCACTAAAGAAAAAAAAATTTTTTTTCAATAGACTAGATTGGACTGTCATAATACTGCTCAAGGTATGGTCCATGGATCCTCAGGGTCACCTTGGAATGTGGCAGAAATGCAGAATCTCTGGTACTACCCACGTCCCACTGAATCTGATCTACATCTTAGCATAACCTTACGTGATTCAAATGCACTTTAAAAGTCTGAGAGGCAGTGGATTGGATTTCACTAGAATAAATCTCAGAGCACGTTTTATATAGTGATGTCAAGGATTGCTTTGCAAAATATTTCAGTTAGAAACACACTGTATACATCGAAACATGTGTATTCTCTAGGGTGAAACAGATCTCCAGCCCAGGTTGGGTGCATGAGACAGGTGCTCGGGCCTGGTGCACCGGGAAGACCCAGAGGGATCAGGTGGAGAGGGAGGTGGGAGGGGGGACCGGGATGGGGAACACATGTAACTCCATGGCTGATTCATTTCAATGTATGACAAAAACCACTGCAATGATGTAAAGTAATTTGCCTCCAACTAATAAAAATAAATGGAAAAAAAAATGCGCTGTATAAACATTTGGCCATGGTCACGTGTGCCGTGATTGGTAACAGGAAAACTTGCTGTGCGCTTGGCTCAGACACTGTGGGAACCACTGACCGGGAGCACTGGTTCGAAAGGCACTCAAGCCACTCACTGGTTTGGGGGTGCTTTCTCCTTTCTGATGTTGCCACAGTCACACTCACAGCTGTTCACTGGTGCTCTAATATGTCTACAACTGGGCTATTGATTGAGGTTTGAAAGGTGAATAGAATTGTAAAATGTCAGTGTGGTCCCTGGCCTTAAACAGCTTGTAGCCTTGTAGGGATTATAAAATGGATATAGAAGCAGTTAGAGAGTAATCGAAGATGTATGATGTATTTTATTTGTTTATTTAATTTACATTGTGTGCCAGACATTTTTCTAGTGATTTTGCACATTAACTTTTTGAAACCTCTTTAACTTTTGGAGGCAGATATATATATATATATATATATATATATGTATAATATATGTATGTACATTTTTTCCGTGTCAGATGGCATGTGGGATCTTAGTTCCCCTACCAGGGATTGAACACGTGCCCCCTAAAAGTCTCAGTCGTGTCCGACTCTTTGTGACCCCATGGACTATACAGTTCATGGAATTCTCCAGGCCAGAGTACTGGAGTGGGCAGCCTTCCCCTTCTCCAGGGGATCTCCCCCCGGGGAAGCCCTGAGGCAGATTTTCCATAGAGTTGGCCCAGAAGTTCTTAGGGTTTTCTCGTCACATTGTATGGACAAACCCGAAGGAACATCTTGGCCAGCCCAGTAGCTGTTCTTGCTTGTGCTCAGCTGTGTCCACCTCTGTGCGACCCCGTGGACCGGGGCCGCCAGGCTCCTCTGTCCGTGGGGTTCTCCAGGTAAGAGTACTGGGGTGGGTTGTCATTTCCTCCTCCAGGGGATCTTCCTGACCCAGGGATCAAACCCACGTCTCCTGTATCTCCTGCATTGAGATTCTTTACCACTGAGCCGCCTGGGAAGCTATGTTGCTGTTGCTCAATGTATCTTATTATCGTAAGAACAGCTAACATGAGATCAACCCTCTTAACACATTTTTAAGTGAACAAATTAGTATTATTAACTGTGGGGCAGGTATTTTTATTATCGCCATCTAAACAGATAAGGAAGCCGAAGCATCAACAGGTGAGGTTATTTTTCTGAGGCCACCTAGGTAGTAACGTCCAGGTGGGTATTGTTGGTAGTATGCGTGAGCTCAGAATTGATTGGAGTGACTGGGACTTTCCATTGGTGAAAATGCCATTTGGGTTGGAGTTCGTACTGTCATTTTTGCTCCAGACAGAAGACTTGGTGATAGCAAGTTCTAGAGAAAACCAACTTTTTATACTACCATTTGCTGACTGATGCTATACACCTCAACTTCAGAGAGAAGACAGAGGATGCCACAAATTGTTTCCAAATGATTTCCAAAGAGTAAGTAATTACACCTCAATTACAGTGTAATTCTGTAATGCTATAAATGTAAATGCTGCAGTGTTGTGACATAAAGGATAAAACAGGGTGTTACTGATTTGTTTTCCATGGTTTTAGGAGGATTGAATATCTCTATATAGAGCAGTCAGACTTTCCAAGGGAGTTCCCATTTCTCAGCCCAGCAATTCATTGCTAGATCACAGATTCTAACTTTGAATTGTGAAAATTTGACACCACATATGTGTATGTTAGAGTTAATGATAAATACCAGTGAGTGTTTTAAGCCAAGCTCTGAGTTGTTCAGCTAATAATTAGTTTCACTGGTTAAACATTAAAGAAAGTCAACCTTTAGGCTTTGAGCAAAAGATTTCTGGATAAAAGTGGTTCCCTAGCTTAAAACCAGTAGGCGTAAAAATCAGGCCCACTTATGAAATCCTGACCAGCTTCATTTATGAATGGTGCTCTTTAATCAAGACAGAATTTGTTAGCTGAGTAACTAGCTTGCATGAAAATGTATATGAATGTGTGTATATAGAAATGCTCCTACATGTTCACATGTATGTGATTATACACCTGTGTGGATGTTGGTTAGTATGTACATATTTATCTAGATTTTTCATTTATTGAGGTTTACCAGGCACTAGACTAAACACATTACAAATTTTAATGTATAAATACATTGTGTATTTAATATTTACGTTTCACATAGGTGACATATATTGTATATATAATCTCATTAAACCCTCACAGCAATTCTATGACATTGGTATTACTATTATTATTATAGTTTTACAGTGAAGAAATCTGGAATTCAAACCTTTAAGATATTTTTCCAAGGTTGCATAGCTAACCAG